TCAGAGACTCCTACCTCCAGTCTCAGCCCTCAGACTGCCCTCAACCCATTCTATTAAAAGGATCTTTCCAACACAGACTTCTAAGCATGTTTCTGTCTCAAACCGTCCCTGGCTCCCCATCACTGTGGACCTAAGTCCTGTGTCTTCCCCTAGAGACCCAGTGGAAGGGGAACTGCTTAATGATGTACACAGGAGGCCGAAGTTTGGAGGTATCCAATGTCCATCCCCCACAAGCTCAGAGTCCAAAAGGGAGCATTTGCTCCAACCCTACTGATTACAAATGGAGTATACTGGAGCTCAGAAAGGTTAGAGAACATGCCCAAAGTCACATAGTTCTGAGTAGCAGGGGGGGCGGGGTCTGAAACTCAGAGCTCCAGGTTCCCATACTTCATGGCTCATCCCACTGAGCAAGGTGATGCTTACACTGTTTCACCTGTGTTCTATAATCTAGGAGTCTAGTTTAGGTGGGGAATTCAAGCATCACAGTAGGCTAGTGCAAGAATATTTTCCTTGTTCCCTTGTTCTCTAATGGAGGGAAGTAGGCAATGTTACCTGAAGTGTTACTTGGCATAGGATAACACAGTGATATCTTTAAATCACACAGTCCTTCTGATCACATTATGGAGAAAGTCTCACTTTGAGGCTAGCCCATCTTTAACACCCAAGCCCATCTCCCTTTTTAACAAATCCAGAGCAAGCCTTTGGCTCTGCACATTGCAGAAAATAGAATCAAATTAGAGATTAATAATACTATTTCATTTTTTTTTTCTGGTTAACTTCCATTTATGGCAAGTGATACTGACCTATTTGCAGTAGTGGCCAGAGTAAATATTCAAAGAAAAATGTTAAATGGAAAAGAATACTAGTGATGTGTAGTAATGGCGAAAACTCTTGCAAGGTGAGCAGAGCCAGCCTGCCTTTCACTTTGCAGTTCTCTTGCCTTCCTGAATAGGGTCCTTCATGCTCTGTTTTCAGTCTGAGTCACTCCCTCTCATTACCCCTTTTTGGGCTTCTGTGTTACCCATTAGCTCAAAGAAGGGTTCCTTGTCTCCCTCATCTCAGAACCAACAGCCCTCCTGAGTTCCCTCCTTTCTCCTCTGAAGATGTGGGTGGAAAGGAGGCAGGGGCCACATGGTGAAGGACCTTAGGTGCCTCCAAGAAAAGAGCTGGCCTGAAAGTCTTGTCTGGTGTATGTGAGGGGTGATGAAATAATGCAGTGTTTCCTAAATGTTGGTCATTTGCAAACCAGTCTTGAGACTTTGCCATCACCTCATACAACTTGTTCCATTATTAACTTCATATTTTTTATTGACCTAGCCTCTGTTTTTAAAAGCTTAAAAAACTTGTTTTAAAAGTAAACATTATGTTACCTAATTGGGAAAAGCCAGTTTCACTTGCCATAAATAGAAAGTCATGGTAAAATATAAATGCAAAGAAAAGAGTGTAATTCAGTTCAGGCCACTTACGGTCGCTACAAGCTGTGAGACTGCTTTTGGGTTAAAAAGGGAGATGAGCAAGGGTCAGGCAAGTGTTAAAGAGATGCCACAACACAGTGAGCCTCCCATGATGTTATCAGAAGGTGGAGAGACAATTGATCAAAGAACTTTTTTCACCTTGAGAATCAACATTAACCTGTTTGTCACTTGCCTCTGAAAGTTGTCCAGTTACACCTGAGCTCACCTCGTGGTAGTCAGCAGCTTGGGAAGCACAGGATCACTGTATGCACAATGTTTGATGTTCTCTGGTCTGAGGGCCTGCTGTTGTCCACACTTGCCAGGGAGGCGGCCCATTCTCAAAATGCCCTTAATTATGCCAGCAGTGCCCACTTTCTCCTGGAGCAGGGCTGACAGAAGCCAAGTCTGCAGCCTGTGGGAGGGTCTGGGCTGGGCCTGGCTTTCCCAGCAGGGAAGCATGGTGCCTGATTTATGGTTTCAGAAGAGAAGCTTCTATCAGATGGCATGCTGGTGGAGGCACGGGAGGCCTCAGACGAGGACCTGCTGGTGGTGCACACAAGACGCTATCTCAACGAGCTGAAGGTACAAGGCCGAAGGCCTGGGGATTGCCACGGGCCAGAAGGGCTGCCAGCCAGGAGGAATGGCCAGAGGAGGGGCAGCTCAGCCTGGGGAAGCACTCCCTCAAAGGGGCTCTGTTCTAGTCTCTAGTGCATGGGGAGCATGTGAGTCTGTCGTCCCCAAGAGGAGAGAGGTATCATAAAAAAATAGACACCAGGGATGGGCTGGACTGCTCTGGGGGTAGTAATCTCCTCATTTCTGTGAGTATGAAAGCAGGGATGTCCATTTGGTGGAGATTGGACATTCATAGGGATTTGGGGGCTTCTACATTAGTGACTTTCAGTCCGTGCTCTATGAACAGGCCTCAAAGACCCCTGCTAGGGTGATAGGCAGGGGTATCCCAGCCCCTGTCCCCCTCCAACCAAAGCTCTTCCACTTTAGCCTATTTTTATATTGGACTGAAGTTTAAGATTTTCTTCTAAGGGCTTCTACTACTAAAGATTTGTTAAAAACTCTTAGGCTAAAAACTAGTTTGAAACTCCCTGGGGCCCAGCAGGGAACCTAAACAAGTGATCAGGTAGGTGGTGGTAGTATAGGGGGTGAACTGGAAAGCTGATGCCCTTCCTGAGTGAGCGGCTGCTACTCAGCTCCACTGTAGGCCTACCATGACCAGAATGTCTGGCTTGAAAGAAAAGCCAGAAATCCAGATTATGAAGTGACAGCTCCTGATTTTTTAATGTGGCAACTCATTTTAAGATTTTTAAAATTCCACCTGCAGACCGAACTGGGCCTACAGACTGCCCACTCATGACCTCTTTCTAGAGGAGCCCACAGCTCTCAACAGTGGCTGAGGTTCTGAGGATGGAGACATTCAGTCAGTCTTCTTTGTAGGAACAGGGGAGGCTGTGCTAGAAGGTTGCATCAGAACCTGTTGTGTCAGCTTGCCCTGGTGGTATCAGGGATGCCACAGGTTCTCTCTCCTTAAGAGTGTGGGAGCCCTGACCCTTGACACCTGGGCTTCCCAGGCTCTACAGGTAGAATAGCCTAGGCCCAGAGAGAGGCCACACCTGCTAAAGGTCACTTGGGAAGTCAGGCCCGGGAGATCCCAGGAAGGGCATCCTGTCTGCCCTTTTTGGTTCCTGGTTGCAGGTGCTGCCCTCCCTTCTCCCAGACTCCAGCCTAGCTGTGAGAATTCTAGATGGAGCTGTGACAATGAGCTCATGAAAGATTACCAGGAAGAGGTTGAAACCTGGCTCATGGGAGAGAGAGGTGTGTGAGGGCTTGGCAGGAATCCCAGCACTTGGCTGTCCTGGTTTCCTGGGGCCTGGACATGCATGGTCACAGCCCATAGCCCAGGGTCTGAGTCAAGAGGATATGCCTGCCAGAGTCCAGAGGATGAGGGCAGGGTGCAGGGAAAGGAGGCATTTTTGTTGGGGTGAGAAGAGACCAGAACACAGTGGGCCCCAAGTGCAGTGAGCATGCCAGGATAAAGCCAAGAATGGGGGGATAGGCTTCCGGGCCCTGCCCATTTGAGTGGCCTTTAGGACAACTGTGTGGGGCCTACTGCATGTTGTCTGGCCTTGGGCCCTTAAAAGTCTGAGGGCAGCTTACTATGTGATAAGCAATAATTAAACTATTAGCAAGTAAAGTCCCAAGTAAAAAATTGAGATCAAGGGCAGAAGGAAAATTCAGATATGCCAACTGGAAGGATTAACCAAGATAATGTGATTGAGCTACATATTTGGCTTGGAGCTCCCTGCAAGCCAGAACAAAAGAAGAAACATGATGAAATCCATAGCACCTAGTAAGTTTAGGAAGTATTCAGTCATTCATCACATCTGTATCGAATACTGACTGTGACTAGTCACACACAAAAAAGTAAGTTTCCCTTTTCCTATGGATTTGCATTTTCATTGTGGAAGACTGAAAATAAAGAAGTAATCAAACAAGCATTTCGGAGAGCACCAAAGTCTACTAAGGAAAAAAAAATAGAGGGTAATGGGGCAGAGGTATGCTCATTTAGACTGAGTGGTAAGGGAGGGGTTTTCACAGAGGAGGTAAGATTTGAGCTGAGACTAAGTAATGAGGAGTAGGTAACACTCAGGTGGAGCTTTGAAAAAAGAATATTCCAGAGTCTCAGGCTGGAGTGAGAAGGGTCTTGGCCTCCTGAAGTGAGAAGGGTACTTGAGTGGCCAGGTTAGGACTAAAACACTGAAGTGGCACATGATGTGGTCAGGTAGGCCAGCAGCACCAGGCCACGCAGGGTTTTGCAGGTTGGCGGTTTGGGAGGAGAGTGAGAGGAGTTTGGATTATTTCAAGTGTCATGAGAGAGAGATGTGGTGCGACGTGCCCTTGATGCTCAGGTGAGACCCATGTCCATTTCCAGCATTGTCTGGCATCTAGGTATTGCAGCTCAGGAACAGCTCCCCTACCCCATAGAAGCATGCAAAGTTTCTTTTCCTTTTCTTTGCATTAGACACTGCAACAGTGCCCTGGAGAGTTCCTGGAGGTTTCCCAGGTCTGCTTCTCCTCAGCGGTTGTGTGTGTGCTGTGGAACATCTACCCTTTCCCCTGCCCTACCTCTCTGCCCCTCACCCATGTTCTGGGGTTCATGCCTGGCCCTGCACTAGGCTGGCCTTTGATGTTTAATAAACAGGGCATTGGAGGAGATGCCATAGCCTGATATTTGACAGATGATGTTCATTCAGGGAAGCAAATGTTTATTGAGCATCTACTGTGTACAAGGCCCAGAGGTGGCCTCACTGAAGGTGGTGGTTGTGTCTGGCCAGTGCAGAGCTTTTGCCTTCTGCTGACCATAGTAACAGTTTGTCATGGAGTATGGATAGTGCCATGCAGATTTGACATCTTGTCCTTGTGTAGCCTGAGCTGGGCAGTGCTCAGGACATGTTTATCCAGCAAGTATTTAGTGAGCACCATGCTCTAGTCTAGGTATGAGGAGATGAGATTAAACAAAAGAGACCAAATCCCTCTCCTGTGGATCTGACATTTAGGTGGGGAGTCAAGTAATGGACATAAAAATCAAGTCAATTATATGGCATGTTAGAAAGCGTTAGTGTCCTGGGGAAAATACAACAGGAAAGGGGGTGAGGAGGACTTCAGTTTGAAATAGGGGGGTTAGGGAGAGGTTTACTGACGTGTGATCATGAACTGAGGGCAGTGAGGGAGTGGACTATGTGGCATCTGGAGGAGGACATTCCAAGTAGAAGGATAAGTAAGTCCACAGGCCCCAAGTCAGAAGTATCTCCAGTATGTTCCAGCAAAAGTAAGGAAGCCAAAGTGGCTGAATCCAAGGGAATGAGAGGAAAACTGCTAAGAAATGGGGTCAGAAGATGATCAGGGGCCAGATGACATGGGGCTCTGAGGGAAGTAGGAGCCAAGGAGTTTTAAAGCAGAGAAATGTGATCTGAAGTAGGTTTTAACTGAATTGCTTGGCAACTTTGGTAAGAATAGGTGAGACTAGGCTGTCAAGACAAAAGCGGAGAACAGTGAAGAAGGAGGTTGTGTTGCAGCAATCGTTGTGAGAGGTCCTGGGTTCTCAGACTAGGCTGGAAGCAGCAGCTGTGGGTTGAGGGAAAGTGGTAGAATTTGGGGTTTGTTATGAAGTTGAAACAACAGGACTTTCTGTTCAAATTGAGGATGGGGCATGCAAGAGAAGCCAAAAATGCCTCAGAAATTTTGGCCTTGAGCCCCAGGAAGTCTGGGCACTAATTGGACCTAATTGTTGCCCTAAAGATGCTTGGTGTCGTGTGGGAAGGAGGAAGGCAGAGATGCTAGCACCAAAAAGCACTGGAAGGCAGATGTCCCAGGAGAGTATCAGGGAAAAGGGGACCCCCAGGATCTCTGATTCTCTTCCTTTTATTTACCTCTTTTTCCCTCTCTCTCTTTTTTTTTATTGTGATAAAATTCACATAACAAAATTAATCATTAATCATTTTAAAGTGTAAATTTAATGACATTTAGTACGTTTACAATATGATGCAACCATCACCTCTGTCTAATTCCAAAACACCAAGTCACCCCAAAAAGAAAACCCATACCCCCTGCCTCTGGTAACCACCAATCTGGTTTTACCTTTTCTGGATGTTTTATATAGCACACACGGAATCATAAACTATGTGACCTTTTGTATCTGGCTTCTTTTACTGAGCATAGTATTTTCAAGAATCATCTACCTTGTATCATGTGTCAGTACTTCATTCCTTATTAAGGCAGAATACTATTGCATTGTGTGGATAGACCACATTTTGTTTATCCATTTATCAGCTGATGGAATTTTGAGTTGTTTCTAGCTTTTGTGTATAGTGTTACTAAGAACACTGAGGTACAAGTATTGGTTTAAGTACCTGTTTTTAATTATTTTGGTCCTATACCTAGGACTAGACTTGCTGGGTTATATGGTAATTCCGTTTAACTTCTTGAGGAATCACCGAAATGATTCCCACCACAGCTGCAAATTTTACATTCCTAACAACTACGCTAGAGTTTCATTTTGTCTACATCCATACCAACACTTGTTATTTTCTGGGTTTTTTAAAAATGTTTTTTATTGTGGCTAGCTTAGTGGATGTGAAGTAGTATCTCATTATGGTTACAATTTACATTTTTTAATTAATTTATTTTTTATGGTGACATTGGTTAACGAAATCTGATAAGTTTCAGCAGTACATTTTAACAATAAGGCATATGTATATTTACATTGTGTTTTCACCTCCTATAGTTAGATTTCTTTCTCTCACCACATATTTGACCCCTTTTATCCTGTCTACCTCCCCCCTTCCCTCCCCCTACTCTCTGGTAACCACTAGTCTATAGTTCATGGCCATGAGTCTGTTTGTCCTGTTCATTTGTTGCTTTTAGGTCTATATTCCACATATAAGTGATATGTGATTTTCAGCTTTTTCTGTCTGGCTTATTTCACTTAGCTTGATTATCTCAAGGTCCATCCATTTGTTGCAAATGGCAGAGGTTTAAAGAGCTAAAGTAGCTTAACTAAGGCTTCATAG